CCAGTGACACACATCTCAGACACATCTGCACATGCCTGCTGCACAGATCTCCCCTTTACATTACACACGGTACAGTCTATACACTGTTCACACACTAAACACTGAGCACTGTAACACTCGACACACTGTACACTACACACTGCGCACACACTACACACTGTACACTACACACTGCGCACACACTACACACTACACACCACACACACACTACACACTGTACAGCACTGTAACACTGTACGCACTGTATTCTACACATTGAACACACACTACACACTGTGTACACACTACGCACTGAGCACACTACATACTGAACACACACTACACACTGAGCACTGTAACACCATACACTACACACCGTGCACACACTATGCACTGAGTACACACTACGCACTGAGCACACAATACACACTGAGCACAAACTACACACTGAGCATACACTACACACTGTTATGCGTCTGGCAGAGTCCCACTCAAGGCTGGGGTTTCGTGACTGTTAATGCTGCTGGCTGACAGAATGAGCACCACAGCCACACACTGACAAGCCCGGAGGGCCTGCATGTGATCAGCCAAGCTTTACCTGTCACAGGTGTCTGATTCATACAGCCTCAGTGCAGAGGAAGCTGGCACACTCACCTCCTTCCAGCATCACCAGCTCCAGAGGGTCTCATGTTTCAGCGCCTAGTTGCAGACCCACACAGCTTCCGTTTCGCATTGACACAGGAGAAGATGCACACAGTGCCTGGAGCTCGTTTTTGCACCCCATTTTTTTTTTCTTTCAGAAAGCAACTTGTTAAGACTCTGGATCACATAAGAACAAAAGAAAGGTTAGAAATGACAGGAGGCCATTGGGCCCACCTGGGTGTTATGGTAGTTAGTAGTTAATAGATCTAAAGATCTCTGGTTTGACAGTTTAACTCGCAACACATGACTTTGTCAGGCTTTTGAGGATTTTAAATACTTTTATCGGGTCTTATTCAAGTTTCAACTTTGAATTGTTAGCTTCTGGGAGACTGGGGAGACTGGGGAGATTGGGGTGACTGAGGAGACTGGGAGACTGGGGAGACTTGGGGCTGCATGTGGGGCAGGAGAATCTGGAGCAGGGCTGTCTGCGCTGGAGGATAGAGCTGCTCCTGTTTGGCGTCTGACACAGTGGCTCTGTCACTGATCCCGCTGAGCTCAGCTGCTGTGCGCAGGGATTCATCTCTGACCTTTGCACTTCCTGTTTGTGTTGCTAAGGTGCCGTCTCCACCAGCCAGCTCAGTGAGGCGTTTCCACTACTATGATTCCCAATGGCTGTGTTTTCTGAGAGGCCAGGGCCCGAGCTGTTGGAGCCATTGTCAAGGAGCAGAGGCCTCTGTGCGCAGCCAGGCCTGCCAGCCGCCTGCGGGCCTCACTGACAGGCCTGTAAGCCTGGGATTAAGCGCTTTGCAAAACTCCACAATTACTGTTTTCATTTCTCTCCGGTTTCTCTGCTTTAGGCTTCATTACAGCAAAAGACATAATTCTCTAATGAGGCTCCTATCTTCCACCCCCTCTGTCTGTCTCTCTCTCTCATCTCTGCCTTTTTGATTGTTCCTCTGCCTCTTCCTGCCCCTCTGTATCTTTGTCTCTGTGTATCTCTGTCCCTCTGTCTCCTTGTCTCTCTGTCTCTGTGATCTCTGTCCCTCTGTCTCCTTGTCTCTCTGTCTCTGTGATCTCTGTCCCTCTGTCTCTTTGTCTCTCTGTCTCTGTGATCTCTGTCCCTCTGTCTCCTTGTCTCTCTGTCTCTGTGATCTCTGTCCCTCTGTCTCTTGCCCTGTACCTCTCTTGCAGGAAGAGGTCTGTGCCTGAGGGGACTGAGGGGAGCTGTGGGCTCGTGGCTGCAGGCAGGCAAGGGTACACCTCAGCAGCTGGGCGTACCTCATCTGGCAGCACAACAGATAGTTCTGCAGCACCTGCCTAGGGCTGGAAATAGAGAAAATAATTACACTCCGGTGTCGAGGTGTTGGCAAGGTGTCAGCGCCAAGGTGTGAGTGCTCATTTTGGCACAGCGCATGTGAGAGATAACAGTTTTCTCTGTTACACTGGTTTCACTTGAAATGTGTTTGTGAAAACGCAGGGCCCTAACATTGAGTGTGCCTCTAAATATAACTGATTTGGTTACAGTGCAAGTGGAAAAACACATTGAATACAGTTAATATTAGGTTTGTATTGAAGAAACCAAATTTGGTACCGATGACCACCTGGAGAAGCTCCTCTTCATGAGTGGTGTGATCTGCTGGAAGGAACATGTCAGTATTCCTTCCTTTCTATTCTGGAGGCTGTAGAGGCTTGTTGTGCCGGTGCAGAGGGACAGCGGAGGGAAGTGAGCCGGGAGAGCACAGTGTGGAGCCATATCCCACAGGCTGGTCCTGCATTCCCAGCAGGATGCTGGGGCAACAGCTGGGAGAGGACATATGAATAAGCCCTGGCCATTTCACAACGCTAGAGAGCAGAACTGTCTGACTTCTAAGACACAGTTCGCAGTCCCAGGCCAAGTGATGCAGTAACTGACAAGTGACAAGGGGGTATATTTGCACCTTTCAGTGCACAATTCCTATTCCCATGATTCTGAGTGACTTGTATGCTTTTAAATCACTTTAATCTTGATGCTGCATGTGGTATGTGACTTGGTATTTCATTAATTTCTTTCTCTGTGTACATATTTTCTAGTATTAGAGTGAAATGAGCTTTTAACCAGTTTCTAGTTATGTACCTGCTTTCTGGTCATTGAATCTTAACTTAAAATATTTACTAGGATCTACCATATTGATTCCCTGTAAAATGTTGAATATCTTAATCAAATCCTCTCTCAGGTGTATTGTATTGAAATGAAAAGTTGAGGTTCCTTCATCTTCTCCTTGCAACATATTTCCTTAATACCTGGAGAGACCTTTGTTCTCCTGGAGTCAAAATCCTAAATCAGCTGTGGAGACATATCCATGGTGAAAAAAACAAAAGATGCCACTGTCAGCGATCCCCCCTTATTTTAAATTTGAACATAGAATAATGATTCACTGGGTGATTTAGATACGATCTTAACTATGAGCAGATGGCATCTTTGTAGATCTACAGAAATCAGTCATTTAAAGCAGGGATGCAGCTTTTAAATACTGAATATCTACACAACTTGCAAAAAGGTTTTGAAGAAAAGATGTGTTGTCACAAGGACCATCCTTCAGGGCTAAGGCTTGTTGAGAGCAAGAGGTCTCTATGAATTGTAGGAATTAATATTAATTAGCCCTTCCTTTTTCGCTACACAGGCAGACCAACAGACAAGACACACCGGGTGGCTTTGCTTCCTGATTGCAGGGTCTGACAGTGTTTAACTCACACACTTCTCCTGCTGTCATATCCTCTGCAGTCTGCCCTCTAATCGGCCCCATTGCAGCCCCTCATTTGGGGCTCAATGGAAGAGGAGAGCCTGGGCTGTAATTAGAGAGCGTAGTGGATTCCTGGGAGCTCCGGCTGTGAGCCAGGCAGCACAGAACGGTCGCAGCCTAGAGGCCAACCCATCATTTCAGAGGCATTTGCTCCGAGAGATAATGGACACCATGAACACAGGGCCTCTTTTTTTGGGTGTGGAGCATCAATTAACATTCCTGGCTGTGCTGTGTCATGGCACTATAAATCAGACGTGGAGAGTGTGCGGCTGCCCGGGATCAGACAGCAGCGAGTCATATGGCCTGGACTCTCTGACACGGAAGCCTGAACAGTCTCTCCTGGGACTGAACGTCACCCCTCAATCCAGGCCTGCGGGCGTCGCATGTCTCTTTAATCCGCCACCTGTTAACACTCAAAAGGGTTGTTAAATGCAACCAACTAAGAAACTAATGACTTAAAGTGAGAATTCACCTGGAACACACACCTGAACCTTCATGCCCTTCCATGACCAGTTCTCAGCAGGACATGCTGTAGAAGGCTTTGAACCTGCTACTTTAAACCATACAGGGCTTTCCTGTGAAATTTCAGTCTGCTGATGGATCGAGAAGAGGCCTGGAGGATTGGGAATGTGAAGAGCACAGTTACACTGAGCCGCACGGCTGCTGTATGATTCATAAAGGCACAGCCCTTTCCCCAGAACTAACAACAGTTGGCCAGTTGCTCAGCTCAACGGTGGCTTGGCTGCATCTGGGCTGACTCTGTGCCCCCTGGGACCTGCCAGGCAGCATTTGCGCTCTGCACCGGGCACTTCAGAAAACATTCAAGTGACTCCTGGGCACGACACCATCCACTGAACTCACAATCTCTCAGATCTAGCTAGAGTTATAGAGGACTGAATACTCCCGCTCCCATATGAGAGTTTATTAAAAAGAGTAGAATAGTCCTGCTACAACAGGGGCCACAGACACATCCATCTCAGAAGCACACAGTCTGTGCAGATGTAGTCGCAATACGCAGACTATGTCAGATACTGTGGACTTAGACGCCTCTAAAATGAAATTATGAGACCCGAGATCCTTGAAAGTCAACGTCACGGTCAGAACTGCTAAATCGTGCATTTCATCCTCTCGCTGGAACTACGTTCATCATGTGGATTTAGCGGCACCGTGTGATCAAATCTAGTATTGCGTTTCTCACAGATTCTGTAATAATTCCCTCCTTTTTTATGCACATCATTCATCAGTAAAATTACATCATAAATATTACGGCAAATCGCACCCTTCAGGTCGTGAGGGTAAAACGATGGTGAAGAGACAGTCCTGCTGACTGAAACAGCTCCAGCCAGCGCGCTTACTTCCGCCCAGAGGAGCTGTCAACGTGTGATTGGACGGTACCACGCAGCATCGTTTTAAATAAAACCGTGAAATGGACAGCCCGACAACAAAGTGATAACGTATCAGTACACGAATACCAAGTCATTTTCGACATGTTGTTTTATTATTTTCGGACCTAAATGATACTATTCTTGACATATTTTCCGACATTGTTGTTTCAGTTTACGGCACAGCCTTGGCCACGGTGGGGTTGTCCTGGCAACAGGCCCTGCTCACCGAATGGTCCCAGGCCTCTGGTTGGCTGAGACGGTGAAGGTGAAAGGTCGCCGTGTTAGCGCTGACGTCGTTCTCTCTGGGAAGATGGCTACCGTGGGAGTGTGTGGATGTGTTCGGGCTGTTGTGCCGCGGTGCAGCGGGCGAAACCGAGCCCAGAAGCTCGGTGGAGGTTTGCTGCTCTTCCTGTGCGTGGTGCTGGCCACGCTGCAGGGGGCTGTGGCTGGCGGTAGGACGCTGGTGCTGCTGGACAACATCAATATGAGGGAGACTCATTCAGTCTTCTTCCGCAGCTTGGCCGGTAAGATCCGCGGTGTTCTGAACGAAGACCTGAGGTGCAAACGTGAACCGCACAGCCCATGTATTCTGATTTTTAAAAAGTTACAGTTTGCCCAGACTTAGGCTTCGGAGCGCTGAGCTTTCAGCAACCACAGACCACCCGTGTGATCGTCACCGGGATCGCGGAACAGTACAATGAGGTGCCGTGAAGTCGCAAGCTCACCTGAAACACCTGCGTGCTGGTCGTGGCGGAGCGAAGTGCTTCAGTATAGCTTAAAGAGAGACGAGTGTTCGGATGAACTTCGCCATGTGAAGGATTTCCAGACCTCCCTGCTGCTTGCTCGGCTCTGCTCTCTGGATGAATCCGATGCGTGACTGTTTTCATGCGCTGTGCCAGTACTTGGGATGGTCGCTTTTAAATTACGACTTGGTTTTGTTTTTTTGCAGATACCTGTTTTCGTATTGCTATTCAGTGGTTTTTTTATTTATGTTTTGAAGGAATACGTAGATCATTCTCCAGAAATACCATGGCTCATGAGGAGAAGCTACCGTTTCTGGGTCCAGTCATTAAATATGCCAGTGCTGATGCATCTTAGCCACTTTTATATATATAAATATTTTGCCTTTTATGATTTTGTGCAGTAAGCTTTAAATCGGTTGTACTTATTGGTAATGTAGTGATGTGTCTCTTATCCAGGTTGTCATTATAACTGAGAATTTTTGCTTAATCCACTCATATCGTTAAAGAATAAAATAAGTTAAATTGAAATTGGGGACTGTACTGGGCACTAACAGTTAAATATGGACCAGGGAACACACTTGGAAACTATGTGAAAGTGCATTTTAAGATGAGAACAAGAGGCATTTATTTACACAAAGGGTTGTGGGTGTCTGGAACAAGCTGTCTAGCCATGTTGTTGAATCTGATAACATGATTTTTTTCAGGAAATGGCAGGACCAATTAACTGTCATCTACCATGCGGGCTGGTGGGGTTGAAGGCCCTCGTGTTTGTAGTGTTCTTACCGTGACTATGTTACAGACCGAGGGTTTGACCTGGCCTTCAAGACTGCGGACGACCCCGGCCTGTCTCTCATCAAGTACGGCCAGTTCTTGTACGATCACCTCATCATTTTCTCCCCCTCAGTGGAAGGTAAGTGTGGCGCCTCAGTGTCGCAGTGCCGGCGCAGTCTGCCTGGCTCTCGGGGAGCACTGCAGACCCCTCAAAATAAGAAAGTTCATAGTTTTTCTGCTTGGTATGACTGTTGTCGAAACAGTCTGCACAACAGAAAGCGAACACTCCACTTCTGCCCGCGTAGAGACATGCGGCCTCTTCTCCAGGTTTATCCTGTGTAACAATGTGCGTCCTCGAGCTGCTCGGGTAGCAGGCTTTCTCGCGAGATGAGCCAGTGAGCTCTGCTGTGGGGGCCCTACGTGTCAGATGTGAGCCCCACTGAACAGCGGTGGGATGAGCTGGGGCAACGTGGCGTCTGGGGCCCAGGGAGACCGAGTCCAACAAGACATCATCTACAACTTTCGGGCTGTGTTGTTTCCATTGGTGGCCCCTGTTGTCAATCTGGGAAGGCGACTGTCATGTCTGTTGTATAAAATGTATATGTTAGTCCTAAAAAATGATTTTTCCAATGTTAACTTTATGGATTTGTTGGGGTTAAATGTGACAGTTTTCTTTTGGTATTCAGTACATTTTTTACAGTAGCCATTCTCTTATTCTGTTCGGTGAAGACGGGTGTTACACGCTCCCTTTTTGTCATCATTCAGCCTTTGCCGAGAGTACAAAGCTCAGCAGTTCATTGTCCTGCAGGAGGCGGGATAATCTGCTAATGGCTATTTTTCCAAATCCTTCGATTCCTTAGATTTTGGAGGCAGTATCAATGTGGAAACGATCACCGCGTTCATCGACGGGGGAGGAAATGTCCTCGTTGCAGCCAGTTCTGACATTGGTAAGACTGGACTGGGTGTTTAAATGTCTCTCCTCCAATGTCCGATTCTACCTGCTTCTCTGCTGGAGCTCTGCTCTCTCCCTCCTCTCTGCCAGGTGACCCCCTGAGAGAGCTGGGGAGTGAGTGTGGCATCGAGTTTGACGAGGAGAAGACTGCCGTCATCGATCACCACAACTACGATGTTTCGGACCCAGGAGAGGTGAGGCAGCTGCGAGCAACGCTGGTGACGGTTGTGACAGTTTCTGGCAAAGGGTGATCAAGGACCCTTTACGAATTCTGTAACACCGCTTACATCTCCTGTGAAGATGCCAGTAGGTGGAAAACATGTGTCCATTTTCCCTGGTGAAAACAAAAATCCTGCTTGAGAAATGGAAAGTCCAGGGCTCGACACCAAAACATTAAGTCTCTGTGTGTTTAACCACATTAGCTGTTTCTGAGGCGTGAGGTGGCTTAAAGGGTTAACAAGAGGAGTTTGTGAAGCACTTGTCTGTCGCCCTTGTGCAGCACACCCTGATAGTGGCTGACCCAGAGAACCTGCTGAAGGCTCCAACCATTGTCGGCAGGCCCACTGGAAAGCCCATCCTGTTCAAGGGCGTCGGGTGAGTCCCCTCCTTTAGAAGCACACATGGTGCGAAAATGCACATAATTACACCTCCGTTTTGCATGGTCTGCTAAAGCAAAATGCTTGAAAAGTCCAGAGGCTTGATAATTTACGTGCAGGAGCCCTCAGCTGGTGCAGTCTGACACCTGGCTTTCTGTGCAGTGCCAGTTTGATGTTGCAGGAGTGAGGGTGTAACTGAAACTAACACCTGTGGTGGTGTATTTGTCCAGGATGGTGGCTGACCCAGACAACCCCCTGGTCCTGGACATCCTGACTGGATCCTCCACATCCTACTCCTTCTTCCCAGACCGGCCCATCACTCAGGTCAGCCAGGGATGCTGTGGAGTTCTGCACTGTTGGCAGCCTTGAGTTTGACTGCTGCCTGTTTCCATGATCCCATAGAAATATAGGACCTTGAATTGTCCAGTGGTTTTCAGTTGGTTGTCATGCAGATCAGGTTATATCCAGTATCTTGAATAAAAAAATTCAGGGTTCAGGTTTGTAACGCTTCACTCTGAAAATTAAGCCATACGAAAAGGTAGTTCAGATGAAGGGTTTGTTTTCACAGTTTTGTAAAAGAATATTTGACATTGTGCTGTAGCTGCAGATGTATTGATGGCAGACCGATGCTTTATCTGCTCCTATGTCTCAGTACCCCCACGCGGTGGGGAAGAACACGCTGCTGATCGCTGGCCTGCAGGCTCGGAACAACGCTCGAGTGGTTTTCAGCGGTTCCCTAGACTTCTTTAGCGATGCCTTCTTCAACTCTGCGGTGCAGAAGGCGGCACCAGGCTCTGAAAGGTGACCCTCTCTCCCTGTCCCGAGCATGACTGCACTTCTGTGCAAACACCTCCGCCCCCCCACAATGATTAAAGTTGTCGTTTTTGTATAAAATAGGTTTTGTGCTTGTGTAAATACTCCAGATGTGTCTGTAGCCATTCCGAGGAGCACTGTGCTGTTTGCGGTGCTGTAGGGCTCTAAGGGGGCTGTCCCGTCCGTCTGCAGGCATGCCCAGACTGGGAACCAGGAGCTGGCGCTGGCGCTGTCCCGCTGGGTGTTCAAGGAGGAGGGCGTGCTGAGGGTGGGCGCCGTCTCGCACCACCGAGCTGGGGAGACTGCCCCCCCCAGTGCCTACACGATCACAGACCTCGTGGTGAGTGCGGCAGGGCCCGGGCAGTTACCGTGAAGCCATGTTTTCTTTTTCTTTTAAAAAAAAATCTAAAAATCTTATTTCTTGGGGAAAGGTGTATTTCTGAAGATGTCTGCCTTACTGTTATTGTATACTCATGGACTGATAATCTTAAAAGTCTTTAGTAGGTGTTTGAAAATGAACTTCTACCTGTTCTACAACATTCTTCTGACCCGTGACCTAAAGCAAGCCTGTGTCACTGTTGCACAGCCACAGCCCAGAGCTCTGGGTCTGTGCTGCTGGCGACTCATTGAGTCTGAAAGGGCCTGTGCCGCTGTGTGTCTGCAGGAGTACAGCATCGTGCTGGAGAAGCTGTCTGATGGAAAATGGGTTCCCTTTGATGGAGATGATATCCAGCTCGAGTTTGTCAGGATCGACCCCTTTGTCAGGACATACCTGAAGAAAAACGGTAGGACTGACCAGAGAACTTCATTTCTAGCCTGTGCTCACAGGCCCTGTGTCCTCCTGTGTACTTTCCTACAGGGCAGCAGCTATTAAAAATGAATAATGAACATACCATTTCCAGGTTTGAGTTTTGTAGTGTTCTTTGGGTGTTGTAAAAACAGTTTGTTAAAATCTTTGCAGGTGGAAAGTACAGCGTGCAGTTCAAGCTTCCTGACGTCTACGGTGTTTTCCAGTTTAAAGTAGATTACAACCGGCTGGGATACACCCACCTGTACTCCTCCACCCAGGTGAGCCCACAGCACTGCTGCCACTGGCTGGGATGTGTGCCGGACTGGCGAGCTCTCAACTCCTGCCCATCCTGCTTCCATGGGTAAAGCACTGCTGCTGTGCTTGTGCAGGGAATGTGAGATTGGCAGCACAATGAAGCCATCTTGTACAAGCCTCTGCTTTTATTGCCCTGTGTGTCTTTTTAAATTGCACATTTTAAAAGTCAAACTGTTCTTATTTAATATAAATTTAAAATAAGTATTTTGACCTGAATTAGATTGGAAATGAAATATGTTGGTTTGTAGTTGTGAGTGATTGACTGATTTGAGTACTTTAAATAAACCTTTTTATTTACTTGAAGCACAAACAGTCTGAACAAGCTTATGGTGCAGAAACCAGTGGATACATTGAGTAAGACATGAAGTTCTGTCTGGATATAAAAGAGAAAGTTATGGCTGTAAGTTGGTGATCTAAAAACAAATAAAGTACAGTCACCACAATATAATTACTATCTCTCATATATATATATGTGGTTTAAATTCACCATTTGCAACACAATTGGATGTCTTTTAAATTCCAATAACTCAGACGTGTGCCTAAAAAATATTAGATGGTCTCCAATCAATCACCCAAAACATAGTCAAAGGCATGTCCACAACTAGTCCAGATCCTGAAAATTGTTTTACAGATTAATAGATATTTTGCTATTTCATGGGTGTATTAACCATGAAAAGTTCATACAGTATTAATAAATGACTCGTTTGTCTGTTTTTTTTAATGTGTAACTATCTCTTACAACAGACTTGATTGCTGGTCACGTACGGTTCACTTAGCCTCCACCTGACCAAAAGCTGAATGAGTATCTGTCTTAATTTACTTGGGTTCTTATTCTTTGGAGTGTTTTTGGAAATTGTGATGAACAGCTGTAGTTTTCTTGTGCTGAGATGAATTGTCTGTAAAGGTTAAGAAGTTTTACAGAGTGTCTCCACCTCGCTCTGTCATAGCTGTGTGTCTTCTGGTATAAAGGTAGTTGAATAATATGAAATGCAGAGGGCTTGTGCGTTGCTGCACGAGCAGCTGGATACAGGTGTGTTCAGGCTCAAATGTATCTTTCTCTCTCGACAGGTGTCAGTGCGCCCCCTGCAGCACACGCAGTACGAGCGCTTCATCCCCTCTGCCTTCCCCTACTACGCCAGCGCCTTCTCCATGATGGGCGGCCTCTTCATCTTCAGCATCGTCTTCCTGCACATGAAGGAGAAGGAGAAGGCGGAGTAGAGTGGCGTCTTGGCAGCAGGTCCGGAGTTCTGCAGCTGCTGCTACAGCTGGGCAGCTGGCAGTAGCCCCTGGCACATCTGGCAGGGCCACAGCACGTGGGCCTGGAGGGGCAGCAGCGGGGTTGGGGGTGCTGTCTGGTTTTGTTGTGCAGTTCTCTCCATCTCACTGATTACTGGGGTTAAAGCACTGTTGTTCTGGATTATTTTCTGTGTTTTGTGTTTTGCATTGTTTTCCTGCAGTGTTCTGAAGAACGATGCATTAATTCAAGAGAGATTTAAATTAAATCTCTTTATATACAAATTTTCAGTTTTTGAGGCTCTCACCTGACAGGTTTTGTTGCCATTTGAACCAGAACAAATAAAACAACATTCCACCCTCACAACTGTGCTGTTTTGCATTTGACTTGTATTTTCATTTAAGGTACCAGCCTGAATTGTTGCACAAATTATTCATTCCTAAAACTGTGAGAATGTACTGGAGCCTCAACAACACATGGAATTGTCTCTAGAAACAGTTCATTTAGGATCTGTTGATTCCAAGACAAATCCAGAATGAGACCTGAGGAGCTGGGAGTTATATAGGTGTGCTCAAATCTGAAATTGTACCAGATTTATAGGGAATGCCCTGCCATTAACATACTCCCCAATGGTGGGTTTAGAGACCTGAAAACTGCTGTAGACGGACACGTCTGGCAATCATCCTCACTATAGCAACTGCTCTGTGTAGTTCACGCTGGTTTGCTTAATGTTCAAGACCAAAGCGCGCCGGGGTCTGCAAAACTGCATGGAGTTTGCCTTGTGTCTCAAAATAACTTGGCCCCTGTACACTGAGCAGGTCTCGGTACAGTACATTTGGCAAGGCTTTAACAGGTTGAGATTTTTTTCTGTCTCGGATAACTTTAAGCGGAAGTACCGTACGGCGTAGGGATAAAGATAATTATGGTTCGGTGTTTTTACTGTAATACACAAGAAGCTCCTACAGCGCCGGCGCAGCGGCCCTGCCGACATCGCGACAGTGCGGCCGCTTGACGGCAGTGTGGCGGCGGCAGGCGCAGAGACGCCGCCGCTTCCGGCTGCCGTCCAGGACTTCCGACACAGTGCGTGAGAGTGTGCGAGTGTGGCGGCGGGTGCTACTGTGTCGAGTGGTGAAAACAGGGCTAGCAGCCGCGGCGGTAGAGATTATTCACCAGCCCTAGGAGAGGACGCGCCCGTGTAGGCTGCGGCGAGTTTGCTTGCGAGCGACCGGCCGGGTGTGGATAGCTGCCTGTGCCGCAGGCGCGATGATGCTGACGGTGTACTGCGTGCGGAGGGACCGCTCGGAGATCACCTTCTCCCTGCAGGTCTCCGCCGAGCTGGAGCTGCGGGACTTCGTGGCTCTGTGCGAGCTGGAGTCGGAAATCCCCGCCGCGGAGATACAGGTGACGCGGACCGGCGTGGCTGTCCTCTGCTCTCACTTCTTCTTTTGTTGACGGAGAGTTTCAAGATTGTTTTGCGCTTTTTGTTTGTCCTCTGGTTAAATATACACCTACAAAGTAAAGGCTCTCGTTAAAGGGCGTTGTTGCTTTGAGCTACACCCGGTTTTCTTCTCCGTCGAAGTTTAGCGTGGTGGCTTCACTCCAGCGAGACAAAGCGAAACAAGTCGGTCCCCTGCGCGTCGCCGGCTGTGCTCAAGCCGGGATGCACAGAGTCGGGGCGGAATGCAAATGTGCATTTACAGCATCGTGAAGAGAAACGAGCCGGACAGGGATCAGAAACCGCAAGTACCCATCCCTTGGAGTCACGGGCGGTCGTTTGTCGTGGTGATCGCTGAGCTCCGTGCCCTCAGGCGGTCGCTCTTGCGTGTCTTCAGAAACCGCGGACACGCGTGGCGCTGTTGGCCAGGGCCACCGCCTGAGGCAAATTAACACCGCTGTGCGAGACTCGGGAATCAAGCTGCCGTCGCACAGCTGTATAGTTTTTGGGGTTTTTTCCCCAATTGCAGGCTTTTTAGAAGGCAGTCGATCTAGAAATATAACGTTAGCCAACGACAGGAGGGCATTCACCCCATGAAACTCGTTTGTTGAAGCTTTGGCGAACTCGCCCCTCCTTTTCTTGAATGAAGGCAGGGTGTCAGTGTCAACAGATTGGCTGGATAACTCTCCCACCACCCTTTGTGTGGCGATTACTGTATGTTCTCGGTTTTAAACACACTTCCCTAAACTATGATTGTAGTTTCTCAGGTGTCCCTGGTTTCTGTTTCGCTGCTCTGAAGAAGTCCGCTGGGTTTTCTTTGTCAATGTTTTACGATTTTGAAAACTTGAATTTGGTCTAGTTGTTCTCTTCTCTGTTGAAGATTAAAGAAGTTCAGTTATTTTATCCTGTCATAGTAGGACACTCAGTTGAGCTTGGAAACCTACCTGGCTGTTCTTCTCCAAACTGCTGCCAGAGCAGCAGTGTCTTTTCTTACACTATTAACTCAATTTTGTTTGCCTTTTTATTGCTTCTGCACATTGTACAGATGTTAACAAAACACCTCATATGAAGAGTGTGATTTGCCTACCTAGGTTCCCTGGGTTTGTCTACAGTAAGTCATAAGCCAGAGTTTGAATTCTGTGGAAACCCTTTTGACTTTAAAACTTCTTCAGTGTTTGCTAATGTTCTTAATGTGGCATAATTTGAAAGCCTGTGTGGTTTACTTGCCATACCAGATTTTACACTGTTCTGAGTCAGGAAGAGTGTCTAAAAGCAGATCTATATAGCCTTTGATGTGGGTTTGGGGTGACCAGCATTCTGGCAGATCCCTTTAAACTGCTACCATCCTCCCCAAATCCCTGTCTCTTCTGTCCCTTTCCACTGCTTTCCAGCTCCCTCTCGTTCCTTCATTGGAAAATAGTCTTCCTGAAATTGTAAGCCTTTGTTTTGGACTACATGTACGGTACAAATCAAGTGATCACAGTAGTTTTCTCACCTCTGTTTTCTTATTCTTCATGCTTTGAAAACGTGTCCAGTAACACCCCCTGTCATCAGGAATGTGAACTGACCTAAACAACAGACCTAAAATGTGTTTCCTATATATTACTAAACGCAGACACATGCTCACGTCTGTTCAGGGATTATTTACAGCAGCGATGAGTCCCTGAGCCCAGGCCTGATACAGTCCAGCCCCGCTGTCACTCGTCGTCTGAGAGAGTGACAGACGTACTGCATGTGACAGAGACAGCAGTGTAGGGAGGGACTGCTGATTTCCCAAACACAAACAACCCTCCACAGAGCCATCTGCTCTCTGGCTGAAGTCTGAGAGCTGTTCCTCTAAACCAATAACGCACACCGAAGTAACAAGCCCTGCCCAGCAGGTGCTAAAAAGGACACAGATCTTACCTCAACTATAAAAAGAAGCTGAGCCCTTTTTCTGACCCTAAATTTAGTGTGTCTCTCCCATGGTCGGGAGTACTTGCAGGCCGGAATGCTGGACTCTGGGTCCTTGCAGCCCCTGGGCTTTCGCCAGGGTGACACCCATGTGGCTCCGGAGGATGGGACTGGGTTGTCCTTGACCTCGTGTACCAAGCCGGTCGTCACACGACTGGCCACTTGCTCGTCTCGTTGCCTTCGGCGCAGGCCTGCCCTAGCAACAGCCCTCCTATTAATGGATGGTGGAAAAGACACTCTCTCCCACATGTATAACATTGTGTGTGCAAAGTTTCATACTTTCTTAATAGAGGCGGTAGAGAACACTGGGTGTCTGCTCGTCATCTTTTGTGCTTGTACGTTTTGAGGGCACTGGGTGGAAAGGGGCCTTGCCCTGGGCCGATGTCACTGCCGAGTTTCTGCCTGTGTTTATGGAGACTTGCTGGGAGGGTCTAGAGCCTTTAAGGAGGTTGGGGGTGTCTGCCTGCATGTGGCTCAGGTGGCTTCAGGACCCGTCGTTCAGCGCCCTTCTTTTCCGCCCCATGTAGATCACTCACGCGGAGCAGCCGCTGGGAGACTTGGCGCGGACGCTGGGCTCGTACGGGCTGAAGGATGGGGATGTGGTGGTTCTCCGGCAGGCAGAGAGACGGCCTCCTGTCCAGCCAGCCTTCCCAGGTAAGACTTAGCACTGCACACAAACATCTATTATTGTTATCGCTTTCAATTCTTTTTCCTTGCTTGTTTTCTTTCAAGTCTGTGTTGGAGATTTTCAGTGTTGTGTGTTCTCTGTCTCCACCTGTCCGGCTGGCTCTCTCAGGCCTGCCCAGGATCGACTTCAGCTCCATCGCGGTTCCTGGGACCTCCTCCACTCGTCAGCTCCCTGCACAGCAGCTGCGCTCTCCGCCTCCTCCCGCGCCCCCCTCCCTGCATCCTGGCGCGTCCCCGCAGGGACTGGACGACCCTGCCTTGCTGCGGGACATGTTGCTGGCCAACCCCCACGAGCTGTCGCTGCTGAAGGAGCGCAACCCGCCTCTGGCTGAGGCCCTGCTGAGTGGGGACCTGGGTGAGTGGGGTGGTGGTGTCACTGCGTCACTCTGAGCTTGCTGCAACTCCAGTCTCACTCCTGTGCATGCGGCGCTGATCCCTGTCTGTCTGCTCTCAGAGCGCTTCACTAAGGTGTTGTTGGAGCAGCAGCAGGAGAGGGCAAGGCGGGAGCAGGAGAGGATCCGGCTGCTGACTGCCGACCCCTTTGACCTGGAGGCCCAGGCCAAGATCGAGGAGGACATCAGGTGTGGTCCCGCCGGGCGCCGGAGGAACTACTCCGATCACAACAACAGGCCTGGGTGTCTTCTATGCCCCGCTGCGTGGCAGCGTTCAGGCAGTGACGTGTGCCTCTTCGCTCCCCTCAGACAGCACAACATCGAGGAGAACATGACCATCGCCATGGAGGAGGCTCCCGAGAGTTTCGGCCAGGTGGTGATGCTCTACATTAACTGCAAGGTCAACGGACACCCTGTCAAAGCCTTCGTGGATTCAGGTGAGGTTCCCTCTCCCTGCCCAACACTTTCGATAGCACTGAAGACACAGCACAGCCAGGGAAGCCCCAGCGCTGCCTGCGGTCTGCACAGTGAAGATGAAGTTTACTCTGACTCGTTGGAATATCTGCTCCAGCCAGTTGTGTCCTGTGGTTTGTGTCTCATGATGAGTGTAGGACATTCCCTGAAGCCCCAGGTTTATTAGTAATAATCCTGTTTCTTGTATCCATGATGATAGACAAAGGTTGTAATGTCTCGCATGATTTATACAGTCTGGGTAAAATACCTTGATTGAGGACAGCACAGTGGTCAGCCAGTCTGGATCCCTAGAGCCAAGGCACAGTTTCAAGCTTCTGCCTGCACTTCACTGGCCACGGTGTCTGACTGATAACCTGGCGGGCAGCACCTCGCTGGCTTGGCGGTGGAGCTGCAGGACTGCAGGCTGAAAGCTGTGCCCCTGTCTCGCCCTGGCAGGAGCCCAGATGACCATCATGAGCCAGGCGTGCGCCGAGCGCTGCAACATCATGCGGCTGGTGGACAGGAGGTGGGCGGGCATCGCCAAGGGAGTGGGCACACAGAAGATCATCGGCAGGGTCCATCTAGGTAGGGGCTTGCAGTCCAGCGCGGTCCAGATTTGTTCTTCGGAGTCAGTTCGTTTCCCTGTGCTGACCATCAAAGGAAATGCCTTGTTTAATTTATACACGTACACTTACAATGAATTAACATTTTTAATTAATAGTAAGTAATAATTTCTTATATAGAACTTTTATGGACATTCCACCGAAAGCATGTGTGGAAACTCTAGATTCGACCACACTCCTGCATCCATCCATCTCTTACCCTGAGCCTGTAGAGGGCAGCATAGAAGCAGAGTCCAGGCAGGTGGGGGGCAGTGGGGTCCGGCGCAGGCTGTCCATTCGCAGCAGGCAGGAGCGGTGCCCTGGACTCTGAACCGGAAGGGTGTGGCATCGAATCCAAAGGGAGCCACAGCTGTTGTACCCCAGAGTCCCCTGGACTGCTCTGGTAAAACACCCAGCTGTGGAAAAGGGTGCAAGTGTCAGTTATTTTGCGTAAAAACATTAGACAAATAAACCATTAAGTAATAATAATTCCTTACACTTATGTAGCGCTCCTCTGGAAACTCCACTCAAAGCACTTTACAGGTAATGGGGATCTCCTCCACTACCACCAGTGTGCAGCCCCATCTAGGTGGTGTGACAGCAGCCAGAGTGCTCCAGTCCTCTCCCCACACACCAGCTCTCAGTGGGGAGGAGAGTAGAGTGATGAAGCCAGTTCAGAGATGGGGATTATTAGGAGGCCATGATTGGTAAAGACCAAGGAAATTTGGCCAGTAATGCTGGGGTAACACCCCTACTCTTTTTGAGAAACCATGGTATTTTTAATTACCACAGAGTCAGGACCTTGGTTTTAAGTCTCATCCAAAGGACAATGGCTTTTTACAGTATAGTGTCCCCGTCACTATACTGGGGCATTAGTACTGGTCTCACTCACACCTCTTTCAGCAGTAACCTTAGCTTTTACCAGGAGGTCTCCAATCTAGGTACTGACTAGCCTCACACCTGACTCACTGGGTTGTGGGAGTTGATGGGGCTCAGGTAAAGAGATGATTCAACCTGTTGAAAATCAAGCCTGGTGAAAATCACAAAGAAAAACACAGAAAGGAACAATACACTCCACACATCAAGAGAGCAGCACACTTAGGGCATTTCTAGTGGTTATAGTAAGAGATTTGTTTTTGCTGATGCTCTGCATATTATTATTCCGTCTAGTTCAATCAGATCAATCAAAAGTTCTAGTTTTGTTGCATTTTGACAGAATTTCAGTTGGGTTGAATGGCATGGGATGATGATGATGGTGGTGTTCTGGTTCAGCTCAGGTTCAGATTGAAGGCGACTTTCTGCCCTGCTCCTTCTCCATCCTGGAGGACCAGCCCATGGACATGCTGCTGGGCCTGGACATGCTGAAACGCCACCAGGTCAGTCCTTGGCATCGCTGCTAGTTCTTGCTTTCTTCTTTTTTCTGTTGATTGTTTATTTAGTGCTTTGTGTTTCCATACTTTCTTTGCATTTTGACATCCGAAGCACGTGTTTTGCTGACATGGTGTAAAATTAAAGGGGAAAGTATAAAAATCAACAAGTAAGCAAGATCACAAGGGCAGTGGCTACAAAGAAAAGAGCCGTTCACAAAACTTGGGCTGTGTGAATGTGCTTGCGTGTTTATTTTTACCCTTTGTTGACCAAAATGTCATGATTATTCTCAAGAGTACAGATTTTCATACTGTACAATAATCACAGCTAATTAAGGAACAAGTAATAGGTTTATTCCATGCTGAAAAAAAGAAGAAAGAGAACACAACGTTTCGGCCGTGGAGCCTTCTTCAGGTGTGAGAGAGACAGGGCAGTAGGCAAAGGTAAAGTAGCGGGAGAACAAAATTTGGGAGGGAGGAGGAGTGAGAGGCGGGAGCAGGGGACAGAAAGAGAGGCCAATCAAGAGGTGTGAAGTCAGAATGGGTGCAGAGAGGTGTGAAATGAAACATCCAATTAATGGAGAAATTTAAAAAAACAGTAGTCTGTCGTTAAGAGAAGGGAGAATGTGTGATCCTAGCTGCAGAATAATTTTGGTTTCGGTGGTCTTTCTGATGTATGAGTTCGGAAAACCGTCTTTGAGAACACAGACGGAGAGATTAGAGTGGTCATGGCCGTCAGAGGTGAAATGAGAAACAATGGGCTTGGAGAGATCTTTAAGATCTCTAAGAATCTTTAAGATCTCTAAGAATCCTATACTTTCTCAAAACCTCAGGATTGCTGACCGATTGAATAATAACATTGGTGCATCGATCTCAGGTTTGATCATGTTCATGTGCTCCAAATAATCTCCAATAGTCTTCCTTTAGAACAGCACGGAGTCTGGGAACAGGTGTACAAACACTTCCACTGAAGAAGGCTCCTTGGCCGAAACATTCTGTTCTCTTTCTTCTTTTTTTTAGCATGGAATAAACCTATTACTTGTTCCTTTGCAGCCTACGCATGCTGACGCAGCTACCCACCTGAACTACTACAGCTAATTAAGTAATTGTTCATAAAGCTGCCAAAATTAAAAAAACATTCTACAATAAGATGGATGATCGAGTTAGTAAGGAGTAAGTTTTCTAACTAGCCATCGGTGAAGATACAAATGACTGCTTATTGTAGTTTAAAGGGAGTGTGTTGTTGTAAAATACACACCAAAAATGCAAAATTCTGCAAATAATATTATGTATTGGTTGTATCTATCGTTTTGATCAATTCTGGTATGTGTGTCCTGCTTGCAGAGTATTTAAATGAAATCTGTCCTCTAAAGGGTTAGACACCTCTTGGCTAGAACGCAGTCATGCTGCCAATTTGTCTCGCTAGTATAAAAGCAGTTAAAGTAAACCTGAGGACTCCAGTGTCCATTGCTGTGAAATTGGTTAACAAACCCTTCAGCTGTCAAAGAGATGGGAATCTGAGATGAGCTGCAGAGGCCGGAGTGTGCACAGGCTGTGGGAGTGAAGCTGTGGTGTGTTCCTGTGTTCCAGTGCTCCATCGACCTGAAGAAGAACGTGCTGCTGATCGGGACCACGGGCTCGGAAACCCGCTTCCTGCCGGAGGCAGAGCTGCCAGAATGCGCGCGGCTGGCGTACGGAGCAGGCCGGGAGGAGGTCCAGCCCCAGGAGATCGCTGACCGCGAGCTGGCCGAGGCGCTGCAGAGATCTGTGCAGGAGTCAGGTGGGACAGGCTGGAGAGACGGGTGGGGCAGGACGAGGAGCTGGGACAGGCTGGAGAGACGGGTGGGGCAGGACGAGGAGCTGGGACAGGCTGGAGGGACGGGTGGGGCAGGACGAGGAGCTGGGACAGGCTGGAGAGACAAGTGACTGCAGAGGGCAGAGAAGCTGAGGGCTGGCTGGAGCTGGGGGAGACAAGTCAGGGAGTGTTGGACTGACAATAGCAAAGACAGCTGAGAGTGAGGAATGTGGCTAAAAAAGTTGTCAGACAAATGGAGAGACGCATGGAGAAAGTCCTAGTTTTAGTAGTATGCATGATGTGTGTATTAGCATGACATTTGCGTAACAATGTGCACGGTGTGTCTGTCCATTGCAGAGCACTTACCACTAAACCTCCAAGACCAGACCTGACAGAAACCTGGCATGAATTAGTTTTTATGTGCTGTGGAGAGTGACGCAAGGATTTGTTCTGAGGTTTTGCTCGCAGTCTTACCACTAGCTGTGTGTCTGAACACTGAAAGGACAGCTAACTGTTAACTAAACCTTATCCCGAAAGGCAGTATGTGTTGCAGTAAGTGATTTAAGAGGTGAGACATCACATGATTAACAAACCATGGGCTGAGACTGTTGCACCTGTGTACAGCAGGCATGGGGTCAGAGCCCCTTAGCTGCAGCCAGGTGACTCCAGGGGCTGCACATTGCCAAGCTCAGTGTGATGTGCTTTGTTACATTCATGGGGGCAGTTGATTCATTCTGTGTGTGTTGCCATTCATCCTACACTGGAACCTCAGACAGCTACTGAGTGGTTTCACCAGTGAATCTTTCCCCTGAGTGGAAGTAGAGGCGTTTATTGCCATATATACATGTACACTGGAATTCTTATTCATGCCGATCTCTCAGGACATACACAGTACAGCAGACAACACCACACAATGTAGGCAGTACATTACAAACATAATATATAATTAATAACAACCAGTGTGCAAGTACCACTGAGCTCGCAGGTCCAAAGCTCTGGTCCACAATTACAACGATAATTCAGCCAGAGCTCAAGGTTACGAAAGAGTGGGGCCGTTCACACCTCTTCAACAGTTAACGCACGCCCTGTCCAGGAAGTGAATTCATGATAGTAACTAAAGACACATTGGACTGCATTGTAATAAGATTGTTAGTATCAAATTGTGAGACGTATTGGGACTCCAGTGTCTGTAAACTGTGTTTGTCAGGTAAACAATATTCATATTTCTCTTTCCACAAACATTTTCACTTTTAGACTTGTGTGGCTGTTTTCAGAAAACAGTTGAAAAGTGAGACCCCTAGTGGCCACCTGGGGTTCCTGCAGCATGCTGTGTGAGTGCTAACATTGCCCTTGTGTGTTGTGTTGTTTTCCTGTGTCCTCTAATCCAAGCAGAGAACCAGAAACAATGATGCATGTTGTGCTGCAGCTGGAGAGGCCCACCAAGCAGGTACTTGTTTGCTTTTTGCTCTTTATATAACCAAGTGCAGGTGTGCACTACGTTTATCGAAGAAGTACCTTCTTAACAGTACAGTGCTTTAATGCCAGGTAAGAGAGGACTGTGCTGTTATGAGGGTAGGGGGGGGAATTATACTTGCCCAGGGTTTGAACTGTGCTGATCTTTTTTTGTGACACAAACTGTAGTTTCTAAAGGCAGTGCTCTATTGCAAAGTGTAGGCCCAGGTATTTACTGGATACCATTCTCGCAAAATGTGCAACGAATGCCACGTTTTCAAACAGGGTCGCATGTGTCATTGGCAGTAATCTGTCAGTCATGTTACAGCACCTTCAGGTCTCTGAGTTATATGTTGCCGTGTTTTTAGATACTGAAGATGGACGAACTACCTCACCGAAGCCCCCTCTGTACCCTGCGCCCGCTGCTAGCTGTCCCCCACATGGTCAGACCCTGGACCAGTCTGTGTCAACCCCTGACCTACTGATTCCCCTCCAGCCTGCTCAGAGGCTCAGCCCCAGTACAGCAGAACGAAGCCAAAGTGAGCCGCAGTTTCAGGGTCTTCCTGCGCCGACCGCTGGTTTACCTGCAGACCCCCCAGTGACCGCCGTGGGCCAGGATGCATCAGGGGAGCCGATTCACACACCAAGTCCTCCAGCCCTTCAACTCGGAACTCCCGCTGCTTTGGAGGTCATACCGGGGTGGGATGCCGGTACAGGCAGCATTAATCTTGAAGAGTCGCTGTCCTCCTTCTCTGACAAATCTCCTCAGACCTCTGAAGAGATCAGTTTAGCTGATGGGGAACTTGTTCCAAATCTTCAGCCCAGCAGACGTGTTACCAGGGAGCCTGTTGACCTAGAAAGTCTACAGACAGGGTCTGTCCCAGCCACCTCTGTCACTTTAGACCCCCAATGCCAAAGTAAAATACAGCATAAAGAGGACGTTTTGTCAGAAAGACAGTCAGAAGTGGGCACTAGTGAGGACATGGTTGGTAAACTAAGACTCCTCTCCCAGAATTTAGGAAGCAGAAGCTTCTCAGAGAAACCTGATTTGAAGTCAGGAGGTCCCAGTAATATACTAGAGGTAGGATTAAGGAAGGATTTTGGTGGAACACAGGGCGAGAGCATGGCATTAGAAGGCTTAAGTGATTGTAAAACACAAAGTGATAGTCTTGACATGGACTTGCAGGGCTCGAGAGGCCCTGACTTGCCAGAGGAGAGCTTGGACATGGAGCTGCAGGCTTTGAGTGGTCCTGACACTCAGAGGGAAAGTCTGGGCATGGAGCCGCAGGCCTTGAGTGGTCCTGACACTCAGCAGGAGAGTGTGGGCATGGAGCTGCAGGCCTTGAGTGGTCCTGACACTCGGAGG